TAAGGTTACGATCAAGGCGTGAAAAGACTTGGTCTGAGTAATTAGAATCAACAAGAACTTTAGATTACATTACGAGTTTCTCAATACATATAGGTCACAGGTTTATATTATTTATTGATTTATAATACTAACAGTTACTCTACTAAAATTCAAACTTATCTTTTAGAGGATTTCTAGAGACAATCATCTAATTAGATGCTGACTCTAACTGAGTTGAGTTATCTTTATTGAAGGTAAGCTTTGGTTGCTTACATACTTTTCTTTATATAAAATAAATTTATTAAATTTAACTGATTCTTTATATTTGTATTTTTCTTACTATTTATCTTTTGCTTTGATTTTGTTGAATCTATACTATATATTTTGAAATTTAACAAATTTAAAAAATTAACAACTGTGCTACGTCAATTGCACATAATTTTTATGTAAGGTAAATGGGTAAATTCAACATTTACAATATACGTACATGCGTATGTATATATGCCGATATATACAGGATTATTAAGTTATAGTGATAGTGATTAGGTATAAATTGAAGTTGCTAAAGTGGGTATGGATTAATTATTTCTTGCATATATATTTGGTAATCATAGGAATTTCTTTTGTCATTTATGCATATTTGATTGTTTATTAATAGATATAAAAAAGTTTGTATATATGAGTAGAAAATTAGTATTGGTTCATATGCTCATATTTCTCAGTCACAATATATTCAACTTAATTTTCACACACTCGCCACACATATATAGCACACTTAATATTGTATACATAACTATTTTTTTACTATGGTAAGTATTATTTATATATATAACAAACTTTAAAGCAAAATACAGAAGAAACATATTAATATTTGTTGTAACAAATATGATTGATTATAATTAGAGCTTCAATCTTTAAGCTGAATTTATCTTTAAATTTAGATAGATTCAGATATTCAGATCATAGATTTTTATTCAGATTGGCCAAAGAACTTGAATAACAGATCTAAGGATGTACTACAAAGCTAGTTCTATATATAATCTAATACAGATTCAATCCAGATTTAATAGAAACCAGATTGTCTGTTAAAAATAAGATCGAAGCTCTAATTATAATCAATATCTACAAAAAAAACCATTTACTTTTATACTTCTATCATGTTTTCAGCTTGACCAAGACCAAGACCTTCTGTAATCTAATTCTTTAAACAAATACAAGCCTATATAGTTTTAAGTAAAAGATGATTTCGTGTTTTACTAATTGTTAAGCCAGCCAGTGAAAACTCTTGCTTACATGGCACACTGGTGGCTTAAATGATAAGATAGTTTTTCACAAGTTGTGATAAAACTGGATATCTAGTTTGATTTGTTTTTCATCAGAGTAATGAATCTGAATTTTCATTGAGAAGAAATTCTAGATAATTAGTTAATTCATCAAAAGGAGATTTTTGTGGCTGATTTTGTTGACGACACACTCTGACTTTTTCAAAATAGAACTTTGATATTAAAGTATTAGTAGATGAAGCTTGGTTATCATTGTCACTATTAGATTGATATGGTTGTAAAATAAGTTGAAATTTTGATTTCACTAATTCAACTTGATCTTGTGAAAAATTACTAAGATTGGTTCTGGGATCCAAAACCACTGGAATAGCTGAATTAACATCGAAGTAATAGTCCCAATATTCTATTAATTTGTTATATATAGCTGATGCAACCAGATAATAGCTAATACTAGCATCAAGATAAGTTTTCAATTCAATAGTTATATCAGTAAATGCAACTCAGATATCGCTAATAGTTGGATGAGAACTTGAGGATAAAAAAACTGTAGCCTCATATATCAGTTGCAGAATAGTCAATAGATCCTAAATAATAAGGTTAGTAAATTTTTTTTATACTATAAGAGGGATGGCTAAAGAGGTATGTTTATAAACAGGAGAAACCTTTGATATTATATGACTGATCCTTCACCCTATGTGCACTATATAAAAATATTATAAAATAATTTTTTTATATAGTGGGTAAAAGATCAGTTGTATAACATCAATGGTTTCTCCTGTTGTATTTATATATTTTTGATTATTTAATTAAAATTAGGGTAAGGGTTAGTAGTTATAGATAGAATTGCCTTCTTGATATTTTTTATTAATGCCTTGAGACAGATTTCAGATTTAGATATATATTTTCTTTATTTTTTATGTTTTTCACTTTTTTTCTATATTTTTGTCTTATCAGGCTGATACAGGTAATCAAAATTTATTACTTGATTACTTGATTGGCTGTTGGTCAAGTGAACTCTGGCTTTAGACAAACCCCATATAAGATAAATACATCTATTTTTAAAGATCAATCCTATTTATTTTTTATATATTATTGTAGTATTAGTTAATTAATTAATTTGTATACAAAATACAATTAAGGGATTTAACTTTATTTTATATACAAATTAATCAACTTATAATAAAAAAAATTGATGAAGCATTAGGATATGCTATAGTGATATAAACCAAACTCAGTAATTTTGAACTTAGTAAATTTCTGAAAGTTTTTACAAGTTTTGATGACTGTATTGCAACCACATTATAACCCAAATTTATGTATTATGGGCTAAAGTGCAAATTATAAGAAAATAATCAAGTATTGTTTAGTAATGCAGAAAGCAGTTTACCTATACTGTCAACTATATTATACTTATTTTGTAAAGTTGATATGTCTTTAAGGTTTGAGATATACTTTAGTTGTTTTTGGAATTTTATCTAAAATTATCAAGTTGTTAGGGCTGTATGTCTATTTAAAAGCTTGTATACTATATTCCAATTGTCCAAGTACTTGTATGATAAATTTTTAAATCACGTATATTACAAATTACATTATGTATAAATAATATTTTAAAAATTGATTTGCTATATTTGTCATACCATGGGTACTTTAACAAACAGAATATGGTATCAATTATTATCTAAAAATATTTATTAATATCTGCATATAGATTTGATTAATACATATAATACACTATCACTATGCACAAAAATAAAATTGATCTCTGAAAATATCTTATAAATGATTAATATATACTTATATTTATTTCTTTATATTTATTTGAACTAAGATATAAATCTTCAAGCTCTGATAAGTTATTATTCACAAGAATTTGAACTATTTCTTTGATTTTTAATTGTCACTCTATCATAGTATATGTGGAACTCCATATTATTTCATTATCAAGAATAGGCATGAGATAAGTTTGATTTTTAACTTTGCATATGTCATGTAATTCATTTATTAATCTTGATGAATACTTTATTTTTTTATAAATTTATGCAACTTATGCAAAGTTTTACTAGTAACTTCTATACTTGTATAACTGACAAATTTATCACATAAGCGGAACAGTGATAGTACTCAAAGGAAGTATTGTTAAAATTTAATTGAAGTCTTTGGCTAAGAAGGCTTCCACATATGACCATATTTGGTGCATTATCTTAGAAAAAATAAAAGATAAATAAATAAAAAAATACATTAAATAAATTAATAAAAAAATAAAAATAAACAAAAAATAAAAAATAAAAATTAAAAATCAAAAAAAAATAAAAAATAAATAAATAGTAAAAATATTACTGTGGTTAGACTGATTATTTTGTCATTTAGATTAAACTTATCCAGGATATGAGAAATCGTGCTTGCTATATTGAATCCTGTATGGCTTTTAGTAAGTAAGATGATGTCAAGTAAGAAGTATTTTAATTTTCAGTTATTGTTAATGTAATGAAGTGTAATGCCCAAATACAATTTATTTGAATTGGAGATCCAAATATCCACAGTGAGCGAAACCATATTAGATATTCTTGCAATATCATACTATAAATTTAAACACCGTTTATTAAAATTTTCAATTACAAGATTTTTAAGATGTTGACAGGTTTGGTATTATATATCTTGTATTTAGTAAATTTACAAAATTTTGAAATTTATGGTTTTCGACTACTGTGAAGAGTTGCAAATCTATAATTATCTACTCCAAAAGAGAGTCAGTAATAGGATATTGCTGTTCGCGTGAGTATGAATAGTGATGACGTGTATTGGAAGTGTCTCGATAGTATTATATTATATAGAATGTTTACTATGTAAATAATAGTATGATGTTGAGCATTTTTACTATATTTTTTATCTTCACACAATTTACACAAAATATTATCATCATTTTTGTTAAAAAATTTTCAAACTTTTGAAGTATAATTGCGCATTTTTTTACAGTTTATTATTAAAAACTTTTTAGAGTTTTGATTACAGGAATTTAGCTATTTATAAGTAATGAATTCTCTTGTTAGTTTATCCAAAAGTATTATTCTCTGAGATACTGATGAATTAATTGCAATTAAATATAATATGTAGGGATAGGTTAGTTCCAAATTGGTCTTGTCAGTCTCAAAAAAATTATATTATTTTAAGATTATTTTTTCTGAGTCATTATTTTTAATTTTTTAATACTATAGTATTTAAGTATTAAGACTGGTCTTGGGATCAATTTAAAACAGATAAATTTTATATGTTTGGATAGGTTTACTGTATTGTTTTCTTTAGTAGGCAAACAACTTGTTCAGTCTTGTATCAGAATTCGAAATTCTTATGATGCAACCGAAATAGGTAATCTTATGCTGACTCCTGAAAAATTTTTTTTTTTATAGTCAAGGTTAGCCTCTTTGGCTTCCCACTTTTATTAGATATTAGAATTATGTGGTACCCTTTTCAAGGGGGCCCCAGACAAGTACATTCTGACGAGGATACATTCTAGCCATACCTGCGCCTTTTGAGCGTCTAATTAAGTATCTACCTATTACTAGATTCTACACTAGATGCCATACCTATAACCCACTATTACTTGAGTTATCCAATTAAACTCTCTGATCCAAATTTCTCTGCCAATCGATCTAATTTCACCCGGAACATGTGATACATAAGTCAGTCCAAGTTACAAGATCATAACACGCCATCTATAGTACTACTGGCATGGCTAACTGATTCATCCTCGAGTGCTCACCTGCTAGAGCATTCCGGTCCCACTATACTGTATTATCTAGTCTACTTCGGTAACTTACGCCTAGGTTGAGACCAAGTACTTGCGAGCCGAAGCCGGTACCATTACCTACTACGCCCTTATAGAGTTCACCCAGACCCTAACACCCACTATACAGACTATCTGCTATACACCCATCACTCAAACTTCTAATCCAGATGGCCCAGAAGGGCTGTGACCTGCCTCTAGTCCCCACGGTTAGGTCCTTTTCCTCTGGTACTCTCCGGCAGCCTAGTTGGTGGAGTGCCTTGCCAAACACTTCGGTCCTGTTTGGTTCTTCAGTTTCTGATTGATAATCCTTTACATAGTACTGTCAAAGATCTGTGCTACCTCTCTACTCAGATCTTGCCAAGCGGGCTTCTATGTGCACCAACCTCAGATTTACATGACTGCTTCACTCAGGTTTCATATAACTCATACATTATACTATTGTTTCACAGTCTCCCAGTACGAGCTGGTGTGACCTAGTTACAGATGTCGATCTGCCCTTATACTCACAGTTGCTGTAACAATGTACTAAGAATTCGAATTTTTGTCGCCGGTGGGATTCAAACTCTGTTCTTGCCACTTGGGTGTATGACAACTTCACCACTTCACTAAGTCGCCACACCCTTGCTGACTCCTGAAAATTCATTACCTAATATTCCATAGAATGCAATGAAATTAATAATTCTTAAAAGTATTATAGAATGGATAGAAAGAAATGTTATTCTTTATGTCAGGGCTTAAACAACTATATTAAAATTAGGGATGGTAAAGTTCCTAGGTTTAGAACTTTAGAACCTGGTTTTGAAACCTAGGTTCTTAGGTTTATAATAGGTTCTTAGATTCTTATGTTTATAATAGGTTTTTTAAGTTCTTAGGTTTATAATAGGTAGACTATTAACATAACTATATATTAATATAATAATTAATATAATAAATATAGTAATATAATAAATATAATAATAAAAGATGCTTAATCAAAGTTAATTAAAAGGTCAATTAATAACTTATTGTATTGATGCAAAATGTAAAAGAATTTATATATCTAAACAAAATGCTGCAAAAAATGATACTAAAAGGAGACTAGCTTCTATGATGCCTAAAAAACAAGTTATTAAAATAATGTTTTATTAAAAAAGCAAGATTAATACAAACTTCAAAATAATATATCAAAGACGAAATACAAATCCAAGCAATAAATGTAAAAATGATGCTGAAAATTTTATTTTAGTATGAAATTTTATAATTTTTTGGTGTACTTTTTTTTAGAATTAGGCTCGGGTTCTAGGTTAGTGTTAATAATAAAAGAATATAGATAAACAGGTTCTGAAACCAGGTTCTAAAACTAAGTTCTGAAATCAGGTCTAGAACCAGTTCTAAAAACTGGTTCCAAAATCAGGTTCTTGAACCAGGTTCTGAACCAGGTTGCAGAACCTTTTAAAAACCAGGTTCTTAGGTTTTCAAAATGAACCTAAAGGTTCTGAAACCAAAACTGAACCTAAACCAACCTAACCATCTCTAATTAAAATGCTGGTCATTCAAAAGTGTGATTCTTGATTTATATTATATTAGAAATTAATTGGCTGATATAGTAAACAATAAGATGTATAATACATTAACTTTAATAAATTAAGAAAAACACTTTAAACAATAAGCTGCAGGCCAGCAAATTATTATAATAATTTAAGCCCTGTTTAGAACTGCTTCATCCCTAATTATGCAACTAAAATTGTTATTAAAAACAATTGTAATCCAATTAATTGCAATTATTGTGTTTTGCATATTGATGTAACTTTGATCAAATTGGTAGATTTCTGTTATCCATATATTTACTTGAACAATTACATAATTATTGTTTAGTTGAGCGATTATAAAAAATTTTTAGTAAACATATATATGATCAAATTTTATAAAAAAATTATATATCGACAATTTACTAAATTTGATCAAAGTTATGTCATGACTGAAGTTGAGATCTGACTAAAGTTAGAACTTCAGTTGACTGAAGTTGGACTGACTGAAATTAGCTTCTGAAATTAGATCATTCTGCACGCATTAGTTAGCTGTTTTAGTCAGATCCTACAACAAATATACATTGTTAAAATGATGAACTTACTGATGAAGCTACAAATCTATACTACTGAAATTTTAAAATTATAAATTTATACTCTGTTGAAATAATTAATCCATCCAATAGTCAAATCATGAATTTTCTTATTATTAAAATTACAAGTGAATCCTCCTACTATTAAGTTCACTAATCTAGCCATCTATTATTAAAAATACGAATATATCCACTATTAAAATCACAAACCTATGTAAGTACTATTAAAATCAATACTCTTCAACTATTGAAATTATGAACAAACCTATAGTTGAAATTGTACTTTCTACCAAAAATATGTACCTACTGGTAGTTTTAAAATCACTACTGAAACTATGAAGATTATAACCCAACTGCTATTAAAATTACAAATCATCTGTTACTACAGTATATAGTACTGAAATTATGAATCCACTATTAAAATCAAAAACAGAATCTCCGAAGGCTAGAGTGCCCATCATTAAAGTATAAATAAAACACGTTTTGTGACCATTTTTGAGAAGCACAGTTGTGCAAAAACCTTATTTCTATATACATATTTACATATGTATATACATTTAAAAATATATGAAAAATACTTTGAATCTGTATAACACAAATATATATAGCTAAATACTAACTAACTAAACCCTAATAGTGATAAGGTTATGATCAAAATATAGAAAGGCTTGGTCTTGTAACCAGGGTCAATTAAAGCTCTAAATATATCACAGGTATCTTAATACAAAGTTACAGGAGTTAGTCACTAATTCAATAGATTTTACTGATTGAGGATTAGTAAAGCCAACACTTTTGCTAAAATTTCTTGAGAAAACCTCTATTTAAATAATAAAGTTTTATATATACAAGAATAATATGAATTCTAACTTTCTTTTTTTTTTTGGTATTAAGGTGAGGCCTTGCTTGTATCTTTATTAATAATTGTTGAAATAGCAACAATGTGAATTACTACAAAAGAGCAGAGATTTACAAGCTGCTACTATTTGTACTAGTACAAATAA